ATAAACCTTTGGGATTGACAGTGTTGAATTTGGAAGAAGCAAGGAAATCTGAGCTATATTGAAATATGAATATTTCCCACAAAATAGCTTTTTCCCACTCTCTGTTTCTAATAATGCTGCCCTTTAATACCACCCACCATCTTTTTAACCACTTAGGCTAGGAATGTCAGGATCTTTTTCTTTTTTAATTTAAATTTATGTATTTATTTTAATTGGCAAATAATTGCTTCACAATATTGTGATGGGTTTTGCCATACATCAGTATGAATATGCATCGGTATACATGTGTCCCCTCCATCCTGAAGCCCCCTCCCACTTCCCTCCCAACCCTGTCCCTCCAGGATCATCTTTAATGCACCCTCCTTTGGACTGCAACCTCTTCATGGCCGCCTGCATTCAGTGAGCTGATCAGCTGTAAGGATTCTAGTTCCATACCATCTATGCATCCTATAAGGACTTTTCAATCCAAAAGTAGAGGTCTTATATCTTTCCTTTGTTGCCGGGGTCCAGCCTCGGCAGGATCCAGGGGATACCCTCAGGATGAATGGCGTCGGCGAGAGAGAGAGAGAAGACACGTGAGACCAGCCTTGATAGGGCCAAGTCTGCGAGGGAGAGAGAGAGAAAGAGAGAGAGAGAGAGAGAGTGACCCGACGGGGGATGTAGCAGAGTCTGGCAATCCTTTATTTTTTACCATAGCTTTTATACCCTAAATTAGTACTTTTCTAAAGGGAAGATAGTTTAACATTACATCAGCTTGTTCTTCACGAAACCGGGGTGTTTTCTGCACACTTCTTTGTTTATGAGGGTCTTGTACATTATCTTCTGGCCTTGGGGCCTATTAATATTTTATGCAGGTCAGGTGAATGTAAACCTATTTTCTGTTTCTATGGTGACCTTAACTGAGAGGTAGCAGTCTCATAGGGCAACAGTACAGAGTAGAAGTATAACCTTGTTAACACAAAAATTAATCCTTCTGCACAAATTGTCAGTTGCGTTTATCTAAGAAGTTTACCCCACACAGACTCTGCGGCTTCAGTGAGGCAGCCTCTGCCTAGCACTCCTGGCTGACAATTAGCAACCGTCTCATTGTTGCCACACTAGGGCTAAGCTCTTATTTTTCTAGATCTATAACTATATTAACAATGGTTTCTATAACACAGCCTTAGCACATTAAAAGCAAAAACACAGCAAGCAAAACACACCTAGCAAAACACAGCAAGCAAACGTCAACCCAATAACCACCTTTAGAATAATTTTTCTTATGTTTTCTAATAGGACTCCTTCACCCCTCAAAAATGCTCTATGTCTATTAGGGCTTTTATATAATCAGGTTCTTTATGCTATTTTATGATTAGGATATTATAAGCAATCATGCATATTAGTACCAAGGGCATAAATGCATTTGGCTAACAAACCAGCAAAGGAGTTTAAATTAAAACACTCCTTTCACCCTGGATAATCTCATAAAATACCACCACCTGGGAAACTTATTGATTAAAGTTCTAAATTGATTCTTATTTGGGAAGAGATCGGGGAAGGCCTTCTGCCTGTGTCACAGAAATTAGGGAGTAGTCTATTGAGGCAGGCATCAGAAAGACAGATAACATCTTTAAGGTGAGCGCCGGGGGGCAGCTTTTCAGAATCCCTGAAAACCTGATCCACCTTGCCCGTCAGGTTTTCTCCCTCATGACCTTGCCATGGGTGGGATCTCGTGTGTGCCGGCTCCCGGCACTTTGTGCTCTCTGCTTTTCTATCTCTCTCTCAATAGCATGCTGAACATATTATTTTTTGCATGTAAACTTCACTGCCTAATAAACCTGATTTGTATTCTTCATCCTGGCTTTTAATGCCTGTCATCATAGGGCCCTAATCAACCCTCACTCCTGCTCCACTGGGCTTCCCTCATAGCTCAGTTGGTAAGGAACCTGCCTGAAATGCAGGAGACCCTGGTTCGATTCCTGGGTTAGAAAGATCTGCTGGGGAAGGGATAGGCTACCCACTCCAGTATTCGTGGGCTTCCCTGTGGCTCAGTTGGTAAAGAATCTGCCTGCAATGCGGGAGACCCCGGTTTGATCCCTGGAAAAGGGAAAGGTTATCCACTCCAGTATTCTGGCCTGGAGAATTCCATGGACTGTATTGTCCATGGGGTCGCAAAGAGTCAGACACGACTGAGCGACCTTCACTTTCACTTTCCTGCTCCACTAAAGGGAATCATTTCCTTACGATGAATCGGCTTTTGCCACTGGTACTTGTTCCGTTGTTCATTCTGAAAACGCCTGATTCCATCCTTGCTCAGTCCAGGCTTCATTATGTTTTTATTGTTTGTTGTATGTTCATTTAATAGTTCATTGGTTTTGATTTATTAGAAGTAAGTTATACTTAAGATATAATTTTGTCCATATACTTGGATAAGGAGGGGAGTTACACTGATATTTGTGAGAACTGTGATTGTGCAGTTATTTAGACACCTTCTGCTGGTTGAACTGAGGCTCTGTGATTCAGATTGTTTAGATGGTACACTGTCTCCCATTCATAATCTTATCTTAAAATGTTAAATTATTAACTTGACATGAGCTTAGAGAAAGAGATATGTCAGTGGCGGGGGGGGGGCGGAATAGGTAGAGGAAGTTGGGATAAATGAGTGGAGACAGGGTATTAGGGAAGAAAAGAAAGACATTGCCAAAAGAAGAAGAATATATGTGAATGAAAAATATCAAGAATATTTGTAATATAAAATCATAACTGCAATTTTATGAAAAACCGAGTAAACATATAAACAGTGACCCAAAGGAATAGTGACTTAAAGATTATAAAGTAAGAACTCTGGAGTGTGTGGCTTGTCTCAGGACTAGCCATGAGACCTTGGGTAAGTTACTGAACCTCTCCTAATCTGTTTTCTCGTCTATGAAGTGGGGATGAAAAGAGTACCTACCTGTATGGAGTTGTGTGTATTGCATGAGTTTCTTTGTGTAAACAGGCAAACACAATGGGAAGCTCCCATAAGTGTTAACCCCGAGGAGGATGTCTTTTGCTGCTTTCAGGATAGTTTTACTGTTTTCTTGCACTTGTCAAGATTTTATTTGCCAATCTTTTTTTCACTTAATTTTGTTGATTTTTCATCTTATTCTCTTTTCTCCTTGTGTCTTTTTGTTCATGGTATGTTAGTTTGACTTTTTGAGATGTATTATCAAGAATGCCAAAATGTTTCCTGACATTTCATGCTGGATTCTGCTACAAGTCATTTTTTAAAATATAGTTTTTTTCCTGAGTTTTTTTCTGTGCTCATTCTTTCCCTAACTTTGAAGTCTTTTCTTCATAGGTTATATGTAGTTTGTTTATTTTTCCCTTGTACATGCTGATGTTTGAAGAAACCTGTCTCCATCCACATCACCAAAATTGGCTGTAGTTCAGTGTAGTCATTCTCTTCAAAGAAGGCAATGATTTCAGAAGTTAGGTGAAGACCAAAATTAGTAATTAATTGAAAAAAAGTTAGAGTGAGAATTATTAGAAATTACCTGTTTGCTTTTAAATCATTTTTGTTAACAAATAAATATATTTTATTCACTGATCTCTAATAGAGAACCCAGGCTGCTTTCTTTTTTAAACTAAATTTCATTTACATTATTTACTTATTTTTAAAATGTTTGACCTCACTGTGGGGCATAGGGGGTCCTAGTTCCCCAATCAGGGGTCAAACATATGCCCCCTGCAATGAAAGTGTGGAGTCTTAACCACTGGACCACCAGGGAAGTTCCTGGATGCTTTCTGAATTCTTCCAGTTTAGGTACTCATATTTGCATTACCTTAACCCTGCCTCTGTCTAAGACTTCTAGTTTTATTTCTTCGAAGGAATGGGAACTTAAAGATTTCATGAAAAAAACTGAGTGCAGAATCTCCCTAAATTTTTATAATTTTTTTCTACTGTTTCCCAGTGATCACATCTATTAAGACACCAGTTCTTTTAGTGACTGTGCAAAGCATTGAACTTTTATGGACATAACCTTTTGTGTTCATATTTTATTGGTTTAGGTTATATTTTATTACATAATTGTAATAATATGTACAATTTGTCAAAATTGCATTTGAAATAAATCACACTAAAGCTTGTAATCATTAACTCAACTAGTTACAAAGGTAAGCAGCGATACCAATGGGTGAGCTGACAGTACAAATGTTCCATCCTATGGGCATCAGGCAGTGTGGTTTACAGAAGGGAGGGGAGGTACCAGTGAATCCAGAGTCTCTGAAATAGAAGTCAATTGAGGGAGCTTCAAACAGAGCAGTGGTTCTCAAACTTCAGCATGCATCATAATTATCTGTATGGCTTAGTATAACACAGATCGGTGGGCTGCAAACCAGAGTTTCTGATCCCAGTGGGACTGGGGTGAGGGTTTGCACTTCTGACAACCTTACAGGTGATGGTAAGTCTACTGTTACAGGGAACACACTTTGAAGACCACTGAACTACAGCCAATTTTGGTAACATGGATGGGGACAGTTTCTTCAAACATAGATAAGTTGACTGCAACCCAGAGACCAAACATTTTTTGGCAGAAGACCAAATGTTGTCTTTCCACTCTATCTACTACCCATCTTCTAGTGGATAAGCACTAGGTTATTTGTTACTCTTAGTTTTGGTATTGTGTTGAAACTTAACTTTTTTTTGCTGTGTCTACTCAGGAACTTTATTTGAAATTTGGTAAAGGATGGAATGAGAACTGTTAAAGTCTCACATTCATTATTTTTTGCTTCTTTGAAAAAAAAAACCTACTAGTTAGCTCTCTCAACCGTGCTAGGCATGCTGTTTTCAAATCACACATTCCCCAGTCTCCTTACAGAAGAAGGAAAAAAACCATTTCTGTCTGTCAGAAATGTGTGTTTGGCAATAGCTTGCCAGCTGCAGGGTGGATAGGCAGCAATGTGGGTGTGTTGTCAGCAAGCTGAAGACTTTGTCTGAGAAGCAGGCAGATTATGTGATTGCTCTGTAATCTCCTTTTCAGAACTGGCTGACGGAGCTGGAGATCTTTGCTATAATCTTCTCAGCTGCCATCCATGACTACGAGCACACCGGAACCACCAACAATTTCCACATTCAGACCCGGTGAGGATGTTGAGTTTGGAAAAGAGGCAAGAGGGGTCAGGGATAGTGTGGAAGTCTGAGAGGGGCAGCCACCTTTCTTTTGCATGGTGGCTCTAGTTTGAGTTTCTGAAGGAAAAAGAAATGAACTTATATAACAAGAGATCAGCTGGGTCAGCTTCAATCAAAACCTAAGAATTAAAGAAACCATTTGCTCCTGATTCTCCTATGTTATTCACCTTAAATATGGATATACTTCTCTTAGTCACTTCAATCATGTCCAACTCTTTTCAACCCCATGAACTGTAGCTCACCAGGCTCCTTTGTCCATGGAATTCTCCAGGAAAGAATACTGGAGTGGGTTGCCATTCCCTTCTTCAGGGGATCTTCCCAACCCAGGGATCAAACCCACATCTCTTGCGTCTCCTGCATTGCAAGCAGATTCTTTACCACCTGAGCCACCAGGGAAGATCTATTCTCTAGTCTAATGCTAGCTATTTTTGTATGTATGGGCTATGCATACTCTTTGTTGTCGTTCAGTCCCTAAGTCATGTCCAACTCTTTGTGACCCCATGGACTGCAGCACATCAGGCTTCCCTGTCTTCCACTATCTCCCAGAGTTTGCTCAAGTTTCATGTCCATTGAGTTGGTGGTGCCATCTAACCATGCATACTGTACCCATTTCTAATAGGAGGGGAAACAATTTACATAAAGGTGCAGATACCATGTAGACTAAATCAGGGAGGACAGGCAAGGATTGAAGTAATTTTCTTGACATTAGAAATAGCAGAGCCATCTTACCCTCTGACCTCAGGGATTCTGCTGATGCTTTTCTCATCCTCCCTGATTTCATCTCTGCCCTGTTCAGTGGGTATGTCACTCCCCAACACAAGGTTTTAGGAGCTAGGTGGTCTCATGTAGGCCACTTTGCACCCTTTGTAAGGAGCTTCACAGTAGACACAAACCTCTGTGGGGCATATTAAATACAGGTCCAGGTGCCTCCCTCAGAATCTCTTCACTGTAACAGACATCACAAATTGATTTTGGTAATTTTTTTCTTACCAAACTGCAAATTTATCCTTAGTATTCCTCTCAGCACAGAATTCCAGGCAAGCAGTACAGTCGATTGTCATTACCATTTAGGGTAAAATCTTATCTGCCTTCTCCTGGTCTAAGAACTTAACCTCTCTTAAGACAATGATGTAGAACTGGAGAGACTCTTGACAGTAGGATTAATTGGATCTTGACATAGAAATCAAAAGAAAGTAGAGCTGGAAAAAGGCAGTGAGACACAGAGAAAGAATATTGTAGAGAGGGTTGAGTTTAAGACTAAAATACTTGCTGATTTCACTTGAAAAAAGCAGGTGCACACTCCAGATACATTTGTGTTCGTTAAGTCATTCTACCTGTGTTTAATGAAGCCAGCACTTAATTATGGGGTACACAAAAGAAGACAGTATCATCTGATCTCTGTTCTGAAGGGCATTTCAATAGAATGGAAGCAGACAAAAGGTCTTCAGCCACATGCTTCATTTTCTGCTTTCTGCTTCCTCATAGAGTGTCTCTCTCGGCTGCCGTGGAGCAGCTTACTGTAGCTTTGTTGTAAGATCTTTGAATACAGGGATTCCACAGAGCATCTCTGTTTAATAGGTGTCTGCCAGTGGAGCCTTGACAGAGATGGCGGTGCATAGCACCTGCTGAAGGAAGAGGGTTGGGTAGGACATTTGTACCTGGACCTTGGCTGGAGAGCAATGTCAAACTAGTCACAACTCAGAGGAAAATGGCTTAATTACAGTAGTTAAAAAATAGCTTAATCTCACAAAATACACATCAATTGGTGCCTTACTTACTCAATGGATATAAGACTAGATCTTCCACCTCCTTGGCATTTGCTTGTTTTGTATTATCTCCACTGGAGTGGGAAAATTCCGGAGGGTTCAGCTGAGCTTGGTTTGGAATGAAATTTAAACTTTCATCTTCTTTAACTGAATTTTATCCAAAGCATCTCTGCCTGTGAGATCCTTGTTTAGGAAACTAAATATGTGACTAGGTTCTTTGCTCTTCGATGGGCAGACTGTTGAGCCTAACACTTTCAAGGTATTCTACATACATTCCAAAGTTTGGAATGCAGATGATAGTTGGAAGTTATATTGAGGAGAAATGGCTGAACTGTCAGTATACGTTGCCTTTATTCAAACCCTGAAAGCCACTGTGGAGCTCTGCAAACTCTCAGTTTATATATCTGGGGCTCAGCTTTCTTCATGAGAAATGAACAAGCTCTAGTAATCTAAAGTTTCATTAAATTAAATGTATTAAAATAGTATAACTCCCTATGTTGGTGTCATTCAGCTGTTTGAGGAAGTGAAACAATTGTCATGTAACCCTTATATTTTTTATTCTCAACTTCCCATGTATGACTTTCACTTGGCAGAATTTTAAGATCAAGCTACTAACAAAAGAACTTGCTAACTATACCTGCCAGGTGGTATGTGTTCAGAGAATTACAACTAAAACAAATAAACACATTCTATCATTGAATAAAATAAAAATAATCATTTCAGAAAATATAAGGAAGTTTGACATGACTTGCGTTTTTTAAAAAAAAAATCACATTTGCCACCACTACAGTTAATTGAGGTCTTGTTATTGAATAATTTTTAGAGAGTTCTCAAGTTGGATATCACATGTGAAATAATAGCCATATATTGACATTTCAATACCCTGCAAACATCAATTGATAATTTGTAATGTTGGTGTTAGCTTTTTGATTGATATAAATGACATGGGGGCAAAGTTAATTGCTAAAATAGGATAAAGAGATGGTGTATTTCTACCTTTAGGAGAGTTACCTGAAAAATCTCAGCTGTTCAACATCCTAAATTATTTTTCTTGGCTTTCTGTTCAGGTCTGACCCAGCGATTCTGTACAACGATAGGTCTGTTTTAGAAAATCACCATTTGAGTGCAGCCTATCGCCTTCTGCAGGAGGATGAGGAAATGAATATTTTGATCAACCTCTCGAAGGATGACTGGAGGTAAGGATGAGCCACAGGAGAGTTTTGGAAGCCAGGTAAGGAATGGTGAGAGAGATGACATGCACTTATTTTGAAGAAATAATACTCTGAAGTTTTTCTTGCTGTTTATTTCTCTTTTTGTTTTCTTGTCACAAATATTCAAATATATTATAAGCGCTTTGGACATATTTGCTATTGGTTACCTTAGGAAACTAGTGTTGTTTTGATCTTAAATGAATTTTATCATTTAACACATTTTTGTCATTTTATTTTTGATTGGACTTCTTAAAAAAATCTTTCAAAATTTGCTAAGGAAATTGACACTTTAAAATAATCATGGGTACTTAATTCTGTCACCTAAATGATACTGTCTGTGTCTTTGAACTTGGGTAGACCTGAGTTTGAATGTGAACACAATCATTTATTAGCTGTATGTCGGTTGGGAAGCTACTCAGCCCCATAACACCTTTAAAAATTTAATTTCTAGAAAACTTATAATAACATTTACCTTATAATTTGGTTAGGGTAATAATAACTGCTAAAATCCATCTAAAATGCTTAATTCACTTTGTGATACATATAGCAAGCCTGCGGATCATTGTAGCCGTTAACGTAGGGTCAAGGTGTTTCAAAACTTGTTGGAAAAGTCATTTAAATGCTTAAAAACTTCTGAATCTACTGTGGTGCAAATTATACTTGTATTTTAATTAAATTATTTGTTGTTTATTGAATATCTCTGTGCCATTATACAAGGATTCAGAGAAATAAGCTATTCTGAACAACAGATCGGAAACTTGATTTTCAGGAAGAGCTGGCTATTAGTTTCCATGCAGCTCTAGTTCATTAAAACGTAGAGGAGTATTTGTCTTGGATTTTATTGGAAAATAGTAGATTTAAGAAGCATCTAAAAATGCAGAGCATTTCAGTGAATCAATGCAAATCTTTCAGAAAAAGGAGCCCTCTGTCCAATTTAAATGTTTGTAAAAGTATAATGAAAGATTTGAAAATGGCAGAGAACAGCTTTACACATATTCAGATGTGTCCTGGTTTTGAAGTATTTATGCTTGTGTAGATGGTGTATGTTCCTGGTCCCAGGACAGTCTAATGAAGCGCTCCAGAGCTTGCATGATTACCTCTTTTCTTTCTTTCTTTCTTTCTTCCCACCCTCCCTTCCTTTCTTCCTTACTTTTCTTATCCCAGGGGAGGGATATAGGAAGGTAAAGTCGGATAGGTGCACTCTAGAACTCCGTGAGTCCTAAAGGAAGTTCAGCAAGGCTGTCAGGAAGTTCTTGAGCCACAGTCAGCCATCAGAGGAGTTCCATGTCTCCCAGGAAGAGATAGCCTCAGTCACCTGATGCAGCCCAGGGAAACATGACCTTGGGCAAAAACAGCAATAGTTGTCAGAATGCAGTAGCTGAGGCCCATGGCCACTTAAAGTCCTGAAGTTGGAAGTCTGTGTGATATATTTTCATGGCCACTATCCCATAGAGATTAAAATATTATACTAAATGGCTGCATAATATTCCATCTGTGGAAGTGCCATAATTAGTTTTGAATGTGTAAGTATGTGTGCATTTGTGTGTTTGGGTAATTATGAAGCATCTTACAATGAATATCTCTTTAATGTATTTTTATATGTAGAATTAATGGATCACAGAATGTTTGATGTTTTAAGGTTCTTGTTGAACTTTGTCAAATTGCTTGCAGGTAATGTGCTGAGACTGCTGGCCTGTGGGATTTGTGAACATATGGGAATTATGGCTGGATGGGCATAATTGCCTCTTAACCTATTTTCAAAGTACAGATATGCCACTTCTATTAGCTATAGTTTTGTTAAGGATTTTCTATTTGTACTTAACTATATGTTTGTCAGAGTTTAGTTATGTTATTTGTGCTTCCACTTTGCTATGATCATGAGCCTCATTCATTGTTCAGTGTACTGCTATGTTAGTACATTAACCCTAACCCTAACACTAGCCCTGAGTTTTATTAGGCTGGTTTTGGCAATATCTAAACCCAGAATCATTGCAACACACCAGAATATATCAGTTCACACTGGAATACATAAATATGAACCAATGCAAACATCATAATTATTTATCATTAGCTCTGTAAAGTAATACTAAAAATTCTCCAAGCCAGGCTTCAGCAATATGTGAACCATGAACTTCCAGATGTTCAAGCTGGTTTTTGAAAAGGCAGAGGAACCAGAGATCAAATTGCCAACANGCTATGACAAGCCTAGACAGAATATTAAAAAAGCAGAGACATTACTTTGCCAACAAATGTCTATCTAGTCAAAGCTATGGTTTTTCCAGTAGTCATGTATGCATGTGAGATTTGGATCATAAAGAAAGCTGGGTGCCAAAGAACTGATGGTTTTGAAATGTGGTTATAGAGAACACTCTTGAGAGTCCCTTGGATTGCAAGGAGATCAAACCATTCAATCTTAAAGGAAATCAGTCCTGAATAGTCACTGGAAGGGCTGATGCTAAAGCTGAAGCTTCAATACTTTGGCCACCTGATATGAAGAGCTGACTCACTGGGAAAGACCCTGATGCTGGGAAAGATCGAAGGCGGGAGGAGAAGGGGATGACGGACGATGAGATGGTTGGATGGCATCACCGACTCGATGGAGATGAGTTTGGGTAAACTCTGGGAGTTGGTGATGGACAGGGAGGCCTGGTATGTTGCAATCCATGGGGTTACAAAGAGTTGGACACAACTGAGCAACTGAACTGAACTGAATTGCATTCTTATTGGTTGTTATTTGTGAAGTACTAGTTGAGAATACTTTGAATCCTACCTCTAATCAAAATAAGTTATAAAAATGAATGGTGTGGCAAGACATAAGTAAATTTAGTATATAAAAAGTTAAATTAGTCACTTGGAAAATATAGTTTAATGAAATCTGTTTATGTGGTAGCCTTATATATTTTTGTTCTTTTTTAAGTCAGCACAATCTTTATTATCTCAAAAAGAGTGAAATATAGTTGAATTAGGTCATGGAGCATCTCAGATACAGGAATTTCTGGTTCAGTGGAAACATCTTTATAATTATAACCCATAGTGCCATACTTTTTTGCTACTCCTGTTTTTGGGGGTTCTGTAAGTTAAGAAAAGATTGTAGTTGATAACTTCTTAAGTTACATAGATTTAGTGTTCATTTAAGGACATGTTTGAAAATATTATTTTATCATATTTTATTAATATTGAGATACATTACTTCAAGACTGGTATTATCCCATAAATAAAACATTAACTTCTTTTTTAGGGCTCTCAGTAAAGCCCATTAACCCAAAGATGACATTTATTTAGTATTTTACATCTTTCTAGGAAAGCAATTTAATATTTGGTAGATTCTATTTGGATACATAAGTGCAGTGGACTTTTTAAGGACTTTATAAGTGAATATATTACCATGTATTTACTGCATTGCAAAGTGGAAAAACATGAAATCCCACACTGGGAATGCCAGTTCAGCTGCTCATAAGGGAATTCTGTAAATAGCAACTATTAACTCTAGACAGAAACAAGATCAAATTACCAACTTTGTTGAATCATAGTGGAAACAAGGGAATTCCAGAAAAACATCTACTTCTGTTTCATTGACTATGCTAAAGCCTTTAACTGTCTGGATCACAGCAAACTGTGGAAAATTCTACAAGAGATGGTAATGCCAGACCACCTTACCTGTCTCCTGAGAAACCTGTATGTGGATCAAAAAGCAAGTTAGAAATGGACATGGAACAACTGACTGGTTCCAAATTGGGAAAGGAGTAAGACAAGGCTGTATATTGTCACCCTGCTTATTTAATTTATATGCAGAGAGTACATCATGTGAAATGCTGGGCTGGATGAATCACAAGCTGGAATCAAGATTACTGAGAGAAATATCAGCAGCTTCAAACATGCAAATGATGCCACTCTAATGATAGAAAGGAAAGAGAAACTAAAGAACCTCTTGATGAAGGTAAAAGAGGAGACTGGAAAAGCTGGCTTAAAACTCAACATCCATAAAATGAAGATCATGGCATCTGGGCCTATCACTTCATCTCAAATAGAAGGGGGAAAAGTGTAAGCTGTGGATTTTATTTTATTTTATTGGGCTCGGAAATCACTGCAGACAGTGACTGAAGCTAGGAAATTAAAAGATGCTTGCTTCTTGGAAGGAAAGCTATGACAAGCCTAGACAGCATATTAAAAAGCAGAGACATCACTTTGCTGACAAAGGTCTGTATAGTCGAAGCTATGGTCTTCCCAATAGTCATGTACAGATGTAAGAGTTGGACCATAAAGAAAGCTGAGTGCAGAAGAATTGATGATTTTGAACTCTGGTGCTGGAGAAGACTCTTGAGGGTCCCTTGTACAGCAAGGAGATCAGATCAGTCAATCCTAAAAGTAATCAACCCTGAATATTCATTGGAAGGACTGATGCTGAATCTCCAATACTTTGGCCACCTGATGGAAGAGCCAACTCATAGGAAAAGACCTTGATGCTGGGAAAGATTGAAGGCAAAAGAAGAAGGGGATGTCAGAGGATGGGTTAGATAGCATCACTGATTCAATGGGCATGAATCTGAGCAAAATGAAAGATAGTGAAGGACAGGGGAGCCTGGCGTGCTACAAGTACATGGGGTCAGAAAGAGTTGGACATGACTTAGTGACTGAACATCAACAACAGTGAACAAAATACAGAGACACAAACACAACCTCCAATGACTTGAGGGCTCTAGAGAGTAAAAAAAATTGGACAAATTTTGAAGATGTGCTGAAATTTGGAGACTCTAATAGGAAGAGGTGACTGTGATGTTTTTGTCTCTGAAGGCAGTCTCAGTCAAGGCAATACTGAATGGTTAAAATTAGGTTTATACAAAACCTTCCAGTATGTTTCTGACTAGAGGCATTCAATGGGGGAAGGAAAAGCTTTTCAACAAATGGTGTTGGAGCAAGTGGATATCAATATAAAAAAAACTTTTACCTTTACTTCACATCATACTCAAAAATTATCTTGAAATTGATCATAGACCTAAATGTAATAAAAGATTAAAATGGTAAGACTTCCAGAGGAAAAGTCCTTTCAGTAGTGAGAGATTTCTCAGGACCCCCCAAAGCATAAAACCTTAAATAATTATTTTAAAATATAAAACTTTTGCTCTTTGAATGATACTGGTTTTAAAAAAAGTGACAAGAGTAGGAGAAAGTATTCACAATACATTGAAATGTATTGAATTGTGCAGCCTATATGGAAGTAGTTTATTCTATGCAAATTCTACCTCAATAAAGTTCTTAGCGATAGTGAAAAGATCAGTGTTTGACAGGGGTTCAAGGCCAAGAAGGTAAGCATAGGCAAAGCACATGGGATTTTAGGGTGTGGAAACGATTCTTATACTATTAATGGTAGGAACGTGAGTGGATGCATTTGTCTAACCCCATAGAACTGTGCAACATGAGAATGGTCCCTCAGGCGAATCATGGGATAGAGTGAATGCAAAGTGTAGATGTTGGTCATCAGTTATAATACATGTACAGCATTAAAGTAAGAGGTTAGTAATGAAGGAAACTGTAGGGGAAAAGGGGTATATGAGAGCTCTCTGTACTATCTTCTCAATTTTTCTGTAAACCTAAAATTGCTCTAAAAATGTTTACTTTTAAAAAGTAGGATCCCTATATCCCGTGTGCACCATGGATTATCAGTCACTCTCCTAGGATTAATTTCAAATTAATTTTTTCTCAAATCTTGAGCTCAGTGCAAAAAGGAGTGCTTTCCTATACTTTGTTTCATTGAAATTTTCCCTGTGAATTAATTTTCCAATGATGTGCTTTCCACATGTGTTCCTAATAAGTGATTTCCTTCATCTTTAATCTTCTATTTCTCATAAAAGTCTACCTAAAAGACTTGTTAGATTTGAAATATCACAACTAATTAACTGATTTTGATTAGAACTGGAAAAGAATAAACTAATTATTACTTTCCATTTTTTACTTCCACCCTTTTTCCTCTGTGATGTATCTCTGAAAGGGAGTTTCGGACCTTGGTAATTGAGATGGTGATGGCCACAGATATGTCCTGTCATTTTCAGCAAATCAAAGCAATGAAGACTGCTCTTCAACAGCCAGAAGCGTGAGTGAGCCTATAACCTCATGTGTTTTTATAGGTGTTTGACCTCCTACTTGTCCGTGTCACTGTACCTTTAAAGTTTATCTCCTTTAATGTAACTTTATTAAATGGTCTCATAAAGTAGTGATGCTTGGAGGAGAGCACATGGGAATATTACATATCATGGATATTTCTCATCAGGCTTAAAAAAAATAATAAGGCTAGTAACAATTTGCACTAATGAGAATTTAAAAGATCCCTTCAATGCAGAGGCAACAAATAAAGGTCAGTGAGTGAGTCTTGGATTCTTGTTGTCTTTTTCATGATGGAAGATATTCCAGAAATGGTTTTGAGTCAGTTTTTGAGGTGTCCAGTTCAATAAACATGGAGACCATGCTGATAAATGTCCCAGTTGGAGGATGGAATGATGATTTCCCCCCTGTTCAGCAGCAGTGGGCTTTGAGATGGGAGAATGGAAGGGATTTTTAAAAAATAGTGGTATTTTAAAAACTCTTACTAAGATTTTGTGAGTTTGGTCATTATGTGTTTGGGGCCTTTGGGTTTACAGAATTGAAAAGCCAAAAGCATTATCCTTGATGTTGCACACGGCAGACATCAGCCATCCAGCAAAAGCGTGGGAGCTCCACCATCGCTGGACCATGTCACTCCTGGAGGAGTTCTTTAGACAGGTACCTTGTTGCTTCTTTCCCCTCACTGGTGTCATCTGTGGGCGTAGCCTGACTTTTATATTTCAGCAGCACAGTAATCAGGACTTTTGTGATTACAGTTATCTTCTTTTTGAAGGGATGGTTCACAGCTTTTATTTTTTGGCCTTCTGGTCATGTGATGTTTGACTCTCACCTACTTTCTGGTTCTCAGAATGTTATGGTACTCTATTCTATGCCTTTCTGTTTGGTGTGGGGGAAACATTTCCTTTTGGCAATCTTTTATCAAAATATCATCTGAGGTATGCTTTTACTTTTTTTTTCTAATTGGGTAACCAAATGGCAGTCACTGTAACCTGCTTCTCGTTATAATTGACTGGGCTGTTCCTTTCTAGCAGACAAACCCATGTTGTCCAATGCAAAGCCAGTTGGAACAATTTGAGTTCAGAAAATTATTTGAAGCTACTGTTCCAATTATATTTAAACTTACTATATCCTAAGACACAGGGCAGTGTTTTCTACAAGAAAAATCAGAGTCTTTAATGAGGATACACTGCTTTATTTTTTTTTTTAAGCTGCATAGGAGTAGAGAAATAAAATGGTAAATAAATACATAGCACCAAGACTGCTGTCTTCTCAAACCCAGGCATGTGCAAAACTCATCTCAAGAAGAGTTGCCATTTAAAATATCTGCTTTGAGAAGTGAAGTCCTGAGGTTCAAGGCAAAATGGCATCTAGATTGTGGGACCAGAACTACAGTTAATTCAAGTTCATATGGTTAATTCATTAGTTCTTGTTAATTTACTGAGAGAGGTTACAGTACAGATTCAGAGACCTCTGAAGTTCCATAAAACATTACATATTAGCCAGTCTCAACTTTGTCCCCTAAACTGACAAGAGATATACCCTTTCACCGGTTACTCAGATTTTTGGAAGCAAAGTATTCTTAGGATTACTCTCAGGATTCTCATTTGAATGTAGAAATTATAGAAGGCATTTCTGTGTTTGTTTCTTTCCTTCTGAAGCTGCACACAGTATTTGGTATTGAGGTGGGACTAAGTTAACTGTACATTAAGCAAAGTTCAGAAGCCCCTTTATTGGAATCTTATTCCAGCTGCCTGTGGCCTGGGACTAGTGAAATCACTGCTCTGGTTCCCAGTGGTCTTATCTGTGACTTGTTTCGGGGTATATCATGGGATTTAAAGGAAGGTTGGGCCAGCCTTTTTCCTTAGAGTCCTCCCCACATTAAGTGTTTTCTTCATTCTGTCCAAGAGTGCACATTCTGTCCAACATTCTGTCCAACACATGTACACTTGTGTGCCCCCGCTAAGCTGTTCTGTGAGTATGCCAGCAGGTTCCTTATTCAGCACATGGCTGTCTCCTTACATGGTCAACATTTGGCCTCACAGAGTGGTTCTCAAGGGGAACCCAAGGGGTGAGAGGAACTAGCATTGCACAGGTGTGGCCATGTTGTATATACAAGAATGACTCCAAATTCAGTCTTAACTGAGGGTTAATTTTGAGCCATTTTTTCCAGAAATTACTTTTCTAATTGTAATTTCTACTTCCATTATCATATGCTTTTTTTGATCATTGCTTTTGTAATACACCCACTGTAAACTAGGAATTTTAATCTGAAGCTAGAGGTAAATCATAGTTAACTCATAAATTTGAGGTATTGAAGTGATTCCTTTTTTAATTGTGAGAGACTGAATATGAGAAATTACTTAAACATGAACATTTTTCCCACTAAAGGAAACCTTATTTGCACAAACATAAGCTTGAATTGAAAGAAAATGTACCAGAGGCAATATGAAAATAACCATATTGAATTTCTTGCCAATTGGGAATGGAATGTTAGCTCACTGGACTGGAACTATGTTTTTTAGCAATTATGATTCAGTAAATTATTTTTATTGACTTAATATTTTAACCCAGATGCCATAAGCCATGGTAAGTAACCCTTGTAGGAGAAATGTTGCCTTAGCTCTTAACTATAGATTTAAAATTGGACAGTTCAAATGGGAAATCTCAATGGGACTGTAGAGTCTTTGAAAAAATTACATTTAGATGTTGGGTTATATTTCAAAATAAGGCCATAGCCTCAGTGCTGATAGACCAGACCTTCTATGCATTGCTGAAAGAGTAAGTTACATCTTCAGTTTTATAACCATATTTTACAAAATGCAAGCCTCTGCCTCAGGTCTTTTTCAATGAAATACTGACTTTAAGAAACTGTGAGTTTGCCTTTTTGGTAAATACATCTTGAGAAACTCTGGAGATTCATTTCCTAAGTATTGCTGTATATTTTTACATTTTACAGACATTGCCTACAATTCTTTTAATTTCCTCTGTGTTTGTGGTTATTTTCCCATTTTTTGTTTATTTCATATACCAGTATCTTTTCTCTTCTGTATAAAGTTAATTGATCATTTGAATATTTGATTATTTCTTTTTTATTTTATGATATAAATTACTGCTTTCATTTTTTATTAATTTATTTCTTCTGCTTGATTATTATTAATTCATTTCTTTTGCTAACTCCCCGAGTTAGATGTCCAATTCATTAATTTTCATTCTGCCTGTTCAATATTAGTAAATGTAAGGCTAGGGGTTTATCTTTTTGTCACTCATGAATCTTGTAGGTTCTGATATGCAGTGTATTCACAATCTTTCTTTATTAAATATTTTGTAATCTGGGTTTTGATTTTTCTTTACTAAGAGTTGCTTCAAATGGATGTGTTTGTTTATGTGATTTTCCCAGTGGTAGTTTCCTTTGCTTTCTACTTTTGTACTTGATTTGTGACTTATCAAAATTTGATCACTGTGGGGGGGGTGGAGGGAAAAAAAAATTTGATCACAGAATTTTTCATTGTTTGGGCCTTATTGTGAACTTTGCTTTTCACCTACTAAAAAAATCAATTTTTGTGAATGGTCATGGCTCTTGAATTCAGTTTATCTTCTACTTGCAAAGTACAAAACACCAGGCAAAACATCTGTTTTTAGTTTTAATATTGGCTAACTTGGTAAAGCAAAATTTTTTTTTTGGTAATGCAAATTTTATATCCTCTATTTATTTAGATAGTATCGATAAAAATTAGCAGGCTTCTACTTCCTCTTACCTCTTCCCCAACAGCTAGTTGTATCAACTTGCTTAATTCTTGTAGTCTGTACCTTTGTCATTTAGATATAGCTCTATTCCTTTATGGGCTTCCCTTGTAGCTCAGAGGTTAAAGCGTCTGCCTGCAATGAGGGAGACCTGGGTTCAATCCCTGGGTCGGGAAGATCCCCTGGAGAAGGAAATGGCAACCCACTCCAGTATTCTTGCCTGGAGAATCCCATGGAGCCTGGTAGGCTACCGTCTATGGGGTCTCAAAGAGTCGGACACGACTGAGCGACTTCACTTTCACTATTCCTTTATATATATATATATCAGGTTTAAATGGTATATTTTCACCCCCATCTATACACATAAGAAAGCTACTGCTTATTCAGTACCTCCCAACACTTTTCCCCTTTTCCTTTCATAACATGACTAATTCCTTGTTACTGTTTGTTGGCTGTATTATTTCTAAATTCTATTTTCTAAGTGAGCATTCTATCTCATGTACTATATGCTGTTTCCAAAATATACACCAAAAACAGTGTGACCCAGAAAGATGGAAAATAAACAAGTTGGGCAAAAGCATAATTTTTCTAGTTGTTCTTGTCTTGGCTGTACTCAGTGCTGGCACTTTGGCCATGGTTGGTTCATTCATCTATTGGTTGGTCAAAGTTGTTCCTTGAGTGGTGTCTTCTAGGAATGCTAAAAGCCACATTTCAGTGTGTTTGCAAGTTTTTCTACTGCTTTTATACTTGGGTCACAGTTTGCTTGGGTAAGACATTTTTTGAATCAAATTTCCTTTCCCTGAGGTCTTTTTTGATTTGATTGGTGCTTCTGAACTGTGGTATTGTGGAAGACTCTTGAGAGTCCCTTGGACTGCAGGGAGATCCAACCAGTCCATCCTAAAGGAAATCAGTCCTGACTGGAAGGACTGATGCTGAAGCTGAAACTCCAATACTTTGGCCACCTGATGTGAAGAGCTGACTCATTGGGAAAGACCCTGATGCTGGGAAAGATTGAGGGCAGGAGAAGAAGGGGACGACAGAGGATGACGTGGTTGGATGGCATCACCAACTCAATGGACATGACTTTGAGTAAACTCTGGGAGTTGGCGATGGAGAGGGAGGCCTGGTGTGCTGCAGTCCATGGGGTTGCAAAGAGTCAGACATGACTGAGTGACTGAACTGAACTGAGCTGAGGTCTTTTTTAGATTTTGTTCAAATGACTTCCACCTAAGAATGTTGCAATGCAGAGGTTGGAGGCCATGCTAGAATTATTTTCATGTCTAGGTGGTATGTATTTTTGCTTATGTGCCCTAAGAATTTTTTCTTTACCTTTGAAGCCCAGTGACATTACTAGGCTATATATCAATAATGATTGCTCTATAATGGTTTTTCTTGGGGCCTGGTGCGTTCCTTTTCTGTATCAATTCAAGTTCCATTGATGAAATCTTTAATGATTTTCCTTTTCCATTTGCTTCCTTCTTTAGGAAAAACAGTTATTTGTATGTTGCCCCTCTTGTTTTTCTTCTCTGTTATTTTCCTTTAAATTGTCTTATAACTCTCTGATGAATGGTATTTTTTTCATTCCTGAATTCCATGTCTCTTAATGTGTTTTTATCAAAAATAACTCTCCTTCATGCTGCCTCCACTACAATCTTCATTTATGTGGTGGTTCTGTTTTTCTTTTCCATATCTTCCCTGAGCTCTGCTAGTTCCTGTTTCCCTGAGCCCTGGTTCTTAATAATATTAGGAATTTTTTTCCCATAATGGGAGTATGTATGTTTGGTCATCACTTGGTGGCACTGTTTTTTTTCTGATGAATGTTCCCTATCTGTTATTTTTATTTTTCTGTTTCTTTTTCCATTTTTTCTTTTCACATAAAGTATCTTTCTATAGGTTTTTTTTTTCCTCCTGGTGTTGGTATAGTGCTACCTCTTCCTCCTCCTTCCCTTGCTCTTCCACTTCCATCTCCTCTTCCTCTGCCCTTCCTTCCCCTTCTCCTTCCTTTGATTATTATTTACCATCTTTGAGTAAAATGCATTATTTTTTGAGCAACTATTTTCAGGAGATAAGTGCCAGGGAGAAACTGGAATAGCAGTGTTCTAAGCGGCATGATTTATTAGGAGGTTTCTATGACTTGGTGTGTGTGCGTGTGTGTTAGCCTTTGCTTCTTCCTGGTCAGCAGTAGGCAACAGCTGTAGGACTGCTCGTGGTACAGTCTCTGTTATCCAGACACTCTTGTCATGCGTGTATATCTTCTCATTCAGCATTTTCTTCTTTACTATTTCTTGAAGCTAAATAGGGTTCAGGGCAGCTCTTCACATCAGTGTCTGCTGTCTCTCTGGTTTTCCTACATGATGGATATAGGGTATTTTTCCTATCTGAGTGAATTTTGAAAACCTCTATTCTTCAAGCTTTATCTGACATCTGCAGCCATAGGCCTTTTCTCTGGGCATCTTACATCACCCCTCCAGGATATTCACAGCATTTGACAGTTGTTCCTCACATGGTTTTGATCGAGTTTACAGATTTCTCCTGCTATTTGTTTGTGTTTGTGTTGTTTCTTGTTCTGTTTTAAGAAGACAATTTCTAAGAGGGGGAGGCAAAGATGTCTTACTTAATTTGCTCATACCTCATATTGGTAACTTCTTCCCTGTGAAAGATGAGTATATACTGCTGCATTTTGTTCAACTTGATGCTTTTGTCGTCCCCCCAGTTAGTTACCTTTTCTCCTCTCTACTGGGAAACACTCTCTTGTGATATCACCCAGTGATCTTTTAAAGCTCTTGTGTTGAGAGATGCAATCTGCCCTGTAAAGTTCCAATACAGAAAGAACCTTTGTTTCTCTTGCTTGGTTTGCTGCTTACAGATAGCTGCTGTAACAAACAAACCCCCAAAAGTAAAACAGCACACAGAAAATGAAACTTTATCACCAACTCATGTAAAGTACCAGCAAGTGTTTCTTGATTGGCAGATGGTTTACAACAAGCAGTACTTTTAGATCCAGACTCTACCATCTACATGGCTTCCATGGTGCTTATCTACATCAAGGCAGCAGAAGAGGGAAGGACATAAGACATAGGCATGGGAGATTTTGTAGGCCAGAACTGTGGTACAAATATACCCTCTCTCCTCTTATTTTATTATCTAACACAAACTGGCAGAGATTCTGGACAGTGTAGTCTAGCTATGTGGACAGGAAATAAGGGGAGGTTGTGAACAGTTAACTGCCTAATTGCTCCCTCAGCTTGCTTATCACAGATGTCCAAGTGGCCAAAGGGACTTGAGTATTTCTAACCAAATTCACCTCTTTATTCATGAATCAGGCATTCATTGCGTTCCTTTTGTAGATAGCTTATGTAGATTGCTTAAGTCAGCTGTCTTAACCCCTTCCACAAGAATGAAAGTTATTTATTTTTGTGCACTGTCCTGAAAAAAAAAACGAGTTCACTAAAAAAAAAATCCTTTGTGCCAACTGAGACTATTGCCCTTTTTTGGGAGAACATTGACCTCTTTAATAAAGAGGAAAGTGAATGAATAATTCCACAATGGCCAATAGTCGTGGAGTCATACAATATTGTATTAGTCAAGCTAGATTTGCCTGTAGAAGTACATTCTTCTGTATTAATTTCTGTGTATTTTTTCCAGTTTATAAACGTATGTGTCCTCCAGAGGGAATTCAGAGGTCACTATCTTAAAATAGGTTTATAGAAATTAGTAGTTATTTAAATGCAAAGGATGTAAGTGATATGGGTATGGGCAAGTCCGTAGGATAAGTTGCTTAATGATGTTTAGACTTTTCAGAAATAAAATTCAAATGAATGCTTATGTCTTAGTAGTCAAGCAGTTAGTGTTCTTTTTGAGCTACCCCCACTAAAATGCTTCAAAGGGGATAAGATTGAGTTTTATTTGTGTTGGCTGAGTTAGCCCAGTGAACCATCTGCACAACTGCATTTATGTTATAAATACTCTTCCTTCTCATCATATTGCCCAAATAGAAATAGCTTTGGAATAAGTTCTTTTTATCATGCTACTTGAGCGATAAAGCAGCCCTCAGCAAGGCATACTTGGAAACAGAAGGACCATTGTGTCCTATGGTTTGTTAATACAGGAAAGGGTACAGAACTTAGCCACTTCAGGACTGTTCCTGAGACCCTTGGATGTCCCAGCACCCACTGTGAGCCCCACTATTCAGCTTCCTCAGATGCCCATTCCTTTTCCTTCTTTTCAATAGATCTTAAATGTGCGTGTTAGTTAGCTCCTTTCTCTTTGCTAATATGTCTTAGAAAGAAAAAACATTCAGTTTTTGAATTAGACCTGGTTGTTGAACTAGCTTGTTATTACTCTTTATTTACCATTAGTTCATTGGTGATATTTATTATAGTCAGAGTGTAACAGTTAGATGTAATAAGTTCAATAAATGTTTCTCAGATCTTCACTTAGTGGAAATATCTATCGAGAAATAATACTTGTTCTTTGACTTTAGTTGTATACATTTTCTCATGTAGTTGTCATTGTTATTGATGACATAGGGATTATTATCCCACATTTTATAGGTGACAAAACTGAAATATAGAGGGGGAAAAATACACTTGCTGTGATCAAGTGGTGGGAGCAAGGCCAGGTTCAAGCTAAAGTCAGTAACCATTAACATCAGCAGATTCTTTTCTTGTGAATTGAATAAACACAACTTTGTGGCTGTCAGAGGCGTGACCCACTTTCCCTTTCCTCTGGATGTGTGACTGAAGTATTGAGCTCTGGTTCAGAGCTGTTCTTTAAAATCATCTCCATCATTAATTAGACTTTCCATAGCACTTGCTTGTTATAGTCTTGCCTTTTGGTGAGATTGAGAACATATTGGCCAGAGAATCATGTTTTATTATTGTCTAACTTGATAAACAGAAGCAATTATTTACTCTACTACTTTTTTGTTCCACTTTTCATCACCACTGAGCCCTGCAGGGAAGGCCCCAGAAGCACTTAATTCCAGTTGTGTATGGCTTTAGGTAGCATTCGGAGAATGATTCTGAATGTCAAGTTAGAATTGGTGTCTCAGACACTATCCACAACTGGAGGGGTCTGCAGGCTCAAGAAAGGCTACAGGTAGGCACAGTATGACTGGAGAACACATAAGAATTCTGACTGCTGTGCTGGCTTTTGGCCACAGGATGCTTTGCTTTGCTTATTTTCCTCAGGAGACCTATTGCTGCCTGATGAGGCTTTCTATACAACAGCATGCGCTTTTGCAGTTGGATGGAATGATTGGATGCTGGAGGGCTTCAGCCTCTTGGTGTCTTTTATGCAGAAGAGGCAGGACTTACTACATAATGTAATTGTAATAATGAAAAGAAAGACCAGTGGCCTTCGTGGCAGCTGAAGGTGGCTCAGCCTTCTGTTCTTAATTTACTTTGACCTCCTGTTTTTCTAGGGCGATAGAGAAGCAGAGCTGGGTCTGCCTTTTTCTCCTTTGTGTGATCGGAAGTCCACCATGGTTGCCCAGTCACAAGTAGGTACGTGTTTGCCAATCCATTGATGGAGAGAAAAACTGGAGAAGGGTGTCTGGAAGTAAGCTCAGATGCTCCTCATGATTCTTCGGCTAGAACCTGGCTCCCTTCTGCTGCTGTACTCGTGGCTTTGGCTAGTTGGGGTGATGAAGCCACTGTCCCCATCCTCCTTCCTGGAGTGTGACTGGTTCCTGGGAAGATTAGACAGTGACACTGCTATCTCCATCACTCCCTGACAAGAGAAAAAGGGGCTTCAGTCCTAAGGCAATGACAGGAATTAGTGGTGGGAAGCCCATTCTGTTTCAGTCTCACCATTCTACATGCAGTACCAAGAGTTTTCTCAGTGATGCTTCCTCTAGCCCACTTTCCAAGACAGCACCATTTCCTGGATGACCTTACTGCCAGGAACGGCTCTTTTAAAATATCTCTTTCCTTTCTGCCTGCCTTCTTTCCTTCCTTCCTTTCTTTAAAAAAAAAAAATAGCATGTTTTTTTTGGGTTAAGAATACTTTTGCACTGCTAATAACTGTAATATATGTGAATTATTATTATTTCATTATCATAATACTGTTGCTACTTTTATAGGACAACTTTTATCTTGCCAATTTCATTACAGAATTTTTTGTCATCCTTCACTTCTGTGATGTGAATGCCAGCATTTCTATCTTGGTCATTGTAAAAGCCAAGTAAGCATTTGTATATTTTCACACACAGTATCTCCTTTGATTGGCATTTAGTTTCCTTCCAACTTTCATGTCACTGTGTAATAATGAGTTACCACCCTTAGTCCCAGATCATATATTTTCTCCTGACGAGTCAGCGGACACTTTGGTATTTTTGAGTTGTTGAAATGATCACTCCAGCCCAACATCAACTATCTCTCCAACATGGTGATCTCTCAAAGGTGACATTTCCAGATCTGACCCCTCTCCTAGCTTCCAGCCCTGTTGGCCCTCTTCCATCCAAATATGGCCCTGATACTTTGAGTCAGCAGACCTAAGATGAAGTTCACCATCTTTCTCCCAGGTCACACGCTCCCCTGTTATCTCTGTTCTCTCTGCCTTCCTGGTGGAAGTCTCTCACAGATTCCATCTATAGGTAGGACCACCTACTGCTGTGCACATATCCATGCCTCCATCACACATCCACCTTAAGATGGCACTGGATCTCACCTCCTTTACTTTGTCTTTGAGATTTGTGAAGTGAAGCTTCTAAAATGATTTTCCCAGTGTCAGCCTCCATTGCTTTCTCCCACCCCATCCATCTTGCCAGATTAACTTTCCCAAATAACAGCAGAAAACATCTTAGTACAACGCTGCCCAAACATCTTAAGGGGCGTCTAGTGCCTGTCTAAGTCCTAAGCTCTAGCTTGGTACTTTGGAACCTCCCTCCCTGAACAGATCATGACCCTTCCCAGGCTTTCCCTTTCTGATTCTAAAAGAATTCCTAAGTTCGAGTCATTCCCCAGACACATCCTGCACTTTTCCCTGTCCTGTCACCTTGCTTATTGCACCCCCTCCACCTAGAATGAATAGCCTTAGGGCTCAGCTCAAATATCACAACCTCCTTAATGCTGTTTGCAGCTCTCACAGTGGGAAGGAAAATACCCTCCCTCCCTTTCCTTCCTAGGGGCCTTTCTTTGGGCTTCTCCTTTGGCCCTTTCCATTTTTATGCTCACTGAATTTTCCTGTAAACTTTCAAGGGCAGGCAGGTTGTGTTACAACTTACATCACAGTGTTTTTTACATAGTAGATATTGAATTTGCATTTTTAAGCATTTTATTGAACTATCTACTAAAACGTTAAAGGAAAGCTATGTAGGAGAAATGGATCTGACTCATATGATAGTCAAAGTAAGCAATGTATTAAATGATTACGACCAACCTAAGCTCTCCTAATCTGATTTGGCACTCCTATGTAGATGAATTTTAAAAGAAAGCTACAACTCATCAGTTTGCATGGGAACATTGGAAAGGCCCCAGTTACTATGTAGTTCCTCTGAAACTTTGCTGTTTCTCTCCAGGTTTCATTGATTTCATTGTGGAACCCACCTTCACTGTGCTCACAGACATGACAGAAAAGATCGTGAGTCCATTCATTGATGAACCCTCTCAAAGTGGGGGCACCGGGCAGAGGCGTTCAAGGTCAGTACTGAAGCTTGAAAGCTGGGGGTCAGGATGGTCTGTGCATAGGGACAGACTTCTTCTGGAAGGGATGGGGGTGGTACTTCTTAATCGTGTTCACCCTACCTCCTCCTCATGACACGTGTCTGCTTCTTCCTTTGTGTCAGAGGAGTCAAAGTTGTACACTCTGTATTCTCTAGGCTGGCCTGTAAGTGGGTGATCAAGGTCCAGGTCATGACATACAGGTTCCCAGTACTGCCCCCAGCCTGACCCCATCCGTTCTCTCTTTTGGTGGCTTTGCCCACAACATCGTCAGTCACTGCACTTCACCTGCTGTACCCAGAGAGTCCTGGCTCCCCGTACTCCAAAAGGAAAGAACCATGGATCAGAGTTATCATATTAAGTGAAACTTTCTTTTCTAGGTTCAGGAAGAAAATTAAGTAGTGGGGAAAACTCATAGGTTGCAGGGAGGATTAAGTGAATTATTTAATCTATGTAAAGCCTATATATATATATATATATATATATATGATAGCTCAGTTGATAAAGACGCCACCTGCAATGCAGGAGACCATGGTTCAGTCCCTTGGTTGGGATGATACCCTAGAGAAGGGAGGGGCTACCCACTCCAGTATTCTGGCCTAGAGGATTCCATGGACTGTATAGGCCATGGGGTTGAAAAGATTCCGACAAGACTGAGCAACTTTCACTTTCGCCTTCACTTTCACTTTCAAAGCCTTTATAACAGGGTCCAGCACAGAGGAAGTGGCAGCTACAATAATGCTAATGCTCAGTGTTCACTAGTATTAAATGGTTGGTATTACCACTAGTACTGCTGTCCCCTCCTCCTCATCCATCAAAACCTTGGACCCTGTCATAAAGGAGAGAAATAGAATGAAGAAGAAAAAGAATAGAAGAGCAATGAGAGGAAGAAGGACAAGGATATTAGGACAGAGGGAACCCAGGAATGCTTAAGGTGAAGGGACCTAGTCAAGGCTGCTGACAAGGAGGACAGAAGCCCCCTGCCTGAGTCCCACACCCCCACAGCTCTGCCAGCACTGGGCTGAGATCTGCTCTACTTATCTAGTTAGTCTTGATTATCATTCACTGGATTTGTATTTGTGCCAGTCACGACTAGAGTTCCCTGGAAATGTGTGATACTTTAGGCACTGTGGTCACCCAAATGGGAAGGGAACCCAAAAAAGAGGGGATATATGTGTACATATAGCTGATTCACTTTGCTGTACAGTAGAAACCCAACATTGTAAAGCAGCTGTATGCCAATAAAATTAATTTAAACTAAGTACACCTTCAGAAAAGTAAAGTTTCCCAGAAGGATGGCACTTCGATATTTTATATATATATATATCTGTATTTCCTAAAGTTGCCTCTGTTTAAAGCCTCAAGTGGTATTATATATTTTTGTAATTGTATTTATTTGTTTATTTTTGGCTGTTTGGGTCTTTGTTGCTGAATGGACCTTCTCTAGTTGCAGTGAGCAGGGGCTGCTCTTCCTTGCAATGCATGGGCTTCTTATTGCAGTGGCTTCTCTTGTTGCAGAGCACGGGCTCTAGGGCACTTGGGCTTTGGTAGTTGCGCCTCAGGACTCAGTAGTTGCCATTCCCAGACTGCAGAGCACAGGCGCAATAAGTTGTGGCACACAGGCTTAGTTGCCCCAAGGCATGTGGGATCTTCCCGGACCAGAGGTCAAACCCATGGTTCCTGCATTGGCAGGCGAATTCTTTACCACTGAGCCACCAAGGAAACCCCTCCAGTGGTATTACATTAAAAGACAAGTCTTATGCATGACTGATCTCTCACAATCTCCATGCCTCTCTGCCTTCCCTCAGGTACATGAGGAAGTCCGCTTATTCTAGCCTTGGGTATCCTGGGGTCAGAGTTTCTTGAGTCCAGGAGGAGGTGGAGCTAGAGAGAAAGAGAACAAGTGACTAAGTAACTTGGAGATGTGGTCAGTGTGAAGGAGGGTAGGCAAACTGGAACCAAATGGAAGTCAAGTTTAAGTGGGTTAATTTCAGGAAGTCAAAGACAGAACTCATGTGTGGGGAACCTAGTTATATGGAAAAAGAACATTTGAAATATGGGGACCTTTGGGACTATCAATACTCGTGAGACTGAAACCTTGACTATTTTTTCTTGCTGAAAATGGAGAATTTCCCAGCTGTTGCATATTGAAAATAGAAATGACAAATCTCAGGTCCCAGGAATTTCACAACAGTAACTTGATACATGTTCACTACACTTCTCTTAGGCTTGCTTATCAGCACACATTTTCAAACTGTAACTCTCTCTTTGGTATTTTTTTTTTCATCCTCCAGTTTGAACAACATCAGTTCAACAGATGTAAAGCGATCAGGTGTCAAGAGCTCTGGCTCAGAGGGAAGTGCCCCAATCAACAACTCTGTCATCCCTGTTGACTATAAGAGCTTTAAAGCCACTTGGACTGAGGTGGTACACATTAACCGGGAGAGATGGAGGGCCAAGGTGCCCAAAGGTAAGGTGCTGATGGGGAATCTTGTTCATACCACTCAGACCCACTCACAAAGCAAGACATTGCCACCCCTGATTTAGAAGTGCTGAAAATGAAGCACAAACTCAAGGTATATATTCAAATTGCCGAATGTTAGGAGAGACCATATTTTGCTCTTTATTATATCTAATACTTAGTGCATGAGAGGATGAGGCTGACTTTCAAGTCACCTGATGGAATGACCTTTGTGCTATATGTCCAGATACTTCTCAAAATGAAGATTGTATAGAGGACAGGTGTTCCTCCTGTTTCTTGGTTTCTGCTAGGCCATTTTGTCATTCTTGTTTTACGATATGTGGCACATTTATCAGGCCTTTACTCCTTCTTCTGTCTACCTCGGCCATTACATTGGGATAGAAAAAGCTTTAAGCTCCTTACATGCATTTTTATCTTCATGTTCTCAGTTTCCCTTCAGTCATTACTCAGGCTGACCTGAGGTGAAGGTAACTCACAGGTAAACAGAAATTCAAAGACAGAAAAGTCATCACTCTTGGTACTATGAACAAAAAAGACTGAAATCTCTTTGTTTTTTGAAAGTCAGAATTCATTTGCATGTTTGTGTTTACCGAGCATGTGCTCCATGATTCGTACATATGACATGTTTATACTGTAGTCTAAGTAGGAACACATAGCCGTGGTAAGTCTCATGAAGCTATGGTGCCTGATTCTAGAGACAATTCTAGAGTGGATGATTCTAAAGTTCTGGAGTCAGGAGGCTAATCTCAGTGGGTTTTGTGGAGGTACACCTTCAACAGCAGTCAGTTTTTGCCAACATCTGTTGCATGCCTACGGTATGCCAAGCTCTGTACCGTGTGTTATTCACCGAGGTGAGTATCAGGCATCCTTGTCCTCAAAGCTCGAAGTCTCCTGGGTGGGGACAGGGGGGCATTAGCACAGAATTTCTTTCAAAGTAGGAATGGGAGTTCAGTGGAAGCCTTGTACTCCTTACCAGCACCCACTGACCTTGAGCCCCAGACTTTTATAACAGGCAAGCAAAGTTTTATCCCCTGTCATAGCATTCCACACTTTTATATACCCAGTGTCTACCCAAGGGAGAAGGGTAGGAGTAGGTCTTGTTCCTCAAATATCGGGGGCACTGCTTCCAGTGTTGAGAGAGAAGAGACAAGATCACACTGCTGGAGTTATTCAAAGGCCAACACTGTGTCCAGTTCAAGTGGCTTCTCAGTTCGGGTGGGGCAAAGTGTTTATATTTACAATTCTTTTAAGGCATAGTTGGGTCCTTATCATTTGGGGATGTCCTGAGCTATGGAGAAGAAGCCAGCTCTTCTTCGATATTTTAAGTGTGGCCTCTCACAGTCTATCAGGATACTTTAAACATTGAAATCCTCCCACTTGGCAGGCTTTGCAACCAGCAATGGCAGCTACTGCATCATTTTGAGAAAGCAATCTCTTATAATCAATTACACTCATTACACTTGAAAATTCAACTCCTGACAACGTGCAATTGAAAGTGGTATTTCAAAATAATTTGTTTGCAATTATCTGGCTTACTAAAATTACCTTCTGAAACTAATCACCTGGGGGAGCATTAGACAGTTTCTTTTCTAGAAGAAAATTGGTCCTTTAAAAAGAACAGGTAAGTAACACTGGAAAAGAAGTGAAAATGTTTGTTGCTCAGTCGTGTCTGACTCTTTGTGACCCCATGACCCCACTGACCCTGCCAGGCTCCTCTGTCCTTGGGATTCTCCAGGCAAAAATACTGGAGTGTGTAGCCATTCCTACTCCAGGGGATCTTCCTGACCCAGGGATCGAACCCAGGTCTCTTGTGTACAGGCAGATTCTTTAACATCTAAACCACCAGGGAAGCCCAAAATTAACACTAATAGTTTTAAAATATGTGAGGCATGCTAATAGAGATAAGCTTGTCCCTAGCCTGGTTGAGGTGTTTGGGAAGCCTTCTTGTGTCTAACTAGGATTTGAAAGATATCTGGGGTTGAATGAAGTGGGGAACAAAGCAAAAGAGGTTGACAAAGGCACAGCCCCCAGGGTTTATATGTTTTTGTAGGAGGACAGTTTGGGTATCAAAGCAAAAGTTCGTTGGGAAAAGGGGGAATTGAATCCCTACTTGCCCTGTGCTCTTTGGCAAATCCAGGCAGATTCTTTGAGAAAATTCCCTTTGGGGGATAATAATAGACACCACAGAGGTGGTGCAAAGAACAGAAATTATATAAGTAAAGAATGAGAACTGAGCCTGCACCTGGTTAGTGCCTGATAAGTGGTTGCTCTTATTTTGAAAAATTGGAAAAGAAAGTTTAAATGCAAAGTTAAGAAGGTGGTGGTCAAAATGCCAGTCTATAATTAATATTTTATAACATTTTCTGCCTCCCAATAATGCTGTTGATTGGTTGGCTGGTGTAAGAAATTCAGTTTGCATCTGTTTTCCTGTTGGTGATTGGTTTGTGCTGCACTATCCCAGAATGTTTTGTTCATGATTCTTTTTTACCAGAAAATCCTGATTTCAGCAAAGGCTGCCCTGCATTGGGGCACTTGAATGTATGTTGTTATTAAATTGATCAGAAATGGAATTAAATCTAAGGCTTTAGTTTTTTAATCAACCTATCCAGCTAGGCCAGAACACATAGTTGTTAGGAAAGATTGAATCAATATATATATATATATATTTACAGCTCTTAGGACTGAAGCTCATTATTCCCATGCAAAGATATGTAGGCATAACAATTTGCAAGTCTTATCAGTATTGATTAGTTTCCATTCAGAATTTAATACTTTTTAAACATGTTTTTCTGGTGTAAGAATAATAGGTGTCTAGGTTACAATGCTGAAATATAAACAAAATATACAAAGAAGAAAATAAAAGTCACTCATTCCAGCGAAATGTAACTATTGTTGAAATTCTGATGTAGTTTTTCAAAGTTTGATTTCCTATACACCATGCTCATGCTCTGTTGCACAGTCTTAGCCAATCCTTTGTGACCCCTGCCAGGCTGTAGCCTGCCAGGCTCCTCTGTCCACGGGATTTTCCAGGCAAGAATACTGGAGTGAGTTTCAATTTTCTCCTCCAGAGGATCTTCTGACCCAGAGATTGAACCTGCATCTCCTGCATTGGCAGGCAGATTCTTTACCACTGAGCCATCTGGGAAGCCCCCTTTTATATATATATATAAGTAAACATTTTCCCTTAAATTGAGATCATAGTATAATATTGTATTTTCCTTCTCTGTTTCTGTTTTAAAGATTTTATTCTTATACTGAATATTCTTAGAAAGTGTGATTTACATGGCTACTGTATGTAATACCATAGTTGAACCATTCCTTTGTTACTGAGCACGGTAGTTTCCAATTCTTCATTATTGTATATAACATTGTTGTGAACATCCAAATTCAGAAATCTTGAGCCTCCATCTGATTGTTTATCTAGAATAAATTTCCAAATATTGAATTTCTCTGTCGAAGTAGGTGAAAAATTCTAAAGCTCTTGATATATGTTATCAAATTTCTGGAAAGTGTTTTTTTTTTTAAACTATGTGTTCTCCTTCAGTAGAAGTGTAGTGAGAGTGCCATTTCTTTATATTTTTTCCCATTATTTTACTCTTGAGGATGTTTACATTTTTATTATTGATTCATAATAACTCTTTATATATTAAGGATAGCAATTTTTCAGTTGACAAACTGTCTTGCAATTTCTATCCTACCTCCATCCAGTTAGTCAGTCAGTTTGTCCTATATCTTTTAACTTTGCTTATTGTTTTTCAAAATACATCTTATTTGTATTTTGCCAGAGATTAGCTTTGTATTTTTATTGAATTATGTCTCTGTCAATGTAAATATGAAATAGTATATAATGATACTCCTTTGCAAATGCTGAGAAGTTTATTGAATTTTTAAAAATTTCCTCCATTGTCACTCAGTTTTTATTGAAATAATATAAGATATTCAACCTGAATGATTATAAATAAATTGTAAGTAAATTGCTATTTTATAATTCCTTGGTGGTTCAGATGGTAAAGGATCTGCCTGTAGTACAGGCGACCCGAGTTCAGTCCTGGGTTGGAAAGATCCCCTGGAGAAGGGAATGGCAACCCACTCAAGTATTCTTGCCTGGAGAATCCCATGAACAGAGGAGCCTGGCAGGCTACAGCCCATGGGGTCACAAAGAGTCGGACACAACTGAGCATGTCATAAGGAGTTATAATTAACTTATCCTTTAATATTTTTTAAATAATTGCATCAAGTTTTATATCCAACTTAACAGTTATTTTTATTTAACACTTTGATTTACTAGTATTTTTGCACATCATTACCATATTTTCCTCATTCTGAATTTTTAATGTTGACTGAATTTTTCTGTCAGCTGAAGCACTTTGGTTAAAAATTTTAGAAAGGTACCATGGAAACATCTTCTGAGTCCTGAAGTGGCTAGGAGTACCTTTATGTTGTACTTACATATTATCAAAAGTTGACTATTCAAAACTAATCTAGTATGTTGGTTGTCCTTTTTAAGTTAGTCTCTCTCCTTTTCTTTCTTTCTTTCTCTGCAGGTATTTTAGGTAGGCATTTCAGAGAATTATATTAAGAGATAATTAGCCCAATACCACTTTTAAGCAAAAGCCTATAGTATAATTTAGAAAAGCAAGTAAAATGAAGAAATCAATGTATTTCTCCAAGACTGCACAGACATTCAATGTGGGATAGAATTAGCTCTCAGGAGGAACAAATTAATAATTTATGGATCATGAGGGTTCTATGCTGCCTTAACTCTTAAGCTCCTTGTTTTTGGCCATTTTCATAATGATCACATCACCATACATAGTGTGAACTGAAAGGCAGAAGGAAATGAGATTGAACTACAGCATTTGCTTTCTACTAGTCTAGAAGCCTAGGATGTTAAATCTAAACCCCCAAAAGTTCATTTGACATACATGCAAAAGTTCTTTGCATATATGTCATCTCTGTAACCTGTTATCATATACAAATTAATTGTTCTATCACCTGCTTTGTCTCATAATAGAAAAGATTTAATATATATTAATACTTCACCTTGAAAATATAAGGGGATCAGAGTACAGCAGAACAGATGTATCTCCTGTAAGTTTATTTTTTCTTTTCTTGTATATGTGTTTACTTGTTTTTGTCTACTTATTTGGAGTAGTAGCACTGAATGCTGATGGCTGATCCCATCAGCGTCAGATATTTCAGAGGTGTGAGGGGGAGATGGGAGTAGAGTAAGGCTGAGGACCATTTCAGAGCCATCCACTGGAACACAGTTGCTGCAGGGAGAGGAACCGTATCAGATCTGATTATGATGTCATAAAAGCTACCATTCATTAAGTTAAACATTAATTGCCTGTTGTCAGCTCTGCTGCTAAGTCACTTCAGTCGTGTCCGACTCTGTGCGACCCCATAGACGGCAGCCCACCAGGCTCCCCCGTCCCTGGGATTCTCTAGGTGAAAATACTGGAGTGGGTTGCCATTTCCTTCTCCAATGCGTGAAAGTGAAAAGTGAAAGTGAAGTCGCTCAGTCGTGTCCGACTCTCAGCGACCCCGTGGACTGCAGCCCACCAGGCTCCTCTGCCCACGGGATTTTCCAGGCAAGAGTACTGGAGTGGGGTGCCATTGCCTTCTCCAGTTGTCAGCTGTAGTTAAGCCCAAACAGACTTGTTTCTGAAATGTACCACCCCCAGTTTTGTGGGGTTTTTTTTTTTTGCTAGATTTTCCATAGAAAATTGGTCTGACTCAGTTGTCAAATGAATTTTTATTGCTCAGATAATATGTTGTGCTCTTGTAGCAAACTAGAATTTAATGCCTTCAGCTTTTATCAAAATTACTTTTAACTTGGGGATATTCTGAGTGTTCAAAATTTGCCACAGATTCAGAGGGGATTCTGTGAGGGGATTATACATTTTTTTACCTGATGCCTGAGTATAAACGAATTTTCTTCCCCCTTGCCCCACTTTCCCTCTCTGTATAGTAAGTACAGTCCTCTTTTTCTTACCTACAGTCAGGTACAGTCAAATGGCTAATTCTTTCAGGACAGGATTTCAGAGTGTGGATAGTTTCTGTATTTTATACTGACCTGGATTGCTGATGATGGAATCAAGTCAGGTTCATAGGCAGACAGGGTGAATCATACCCATTGTGTACATTTCATGTAGAAATCAAGTACTTCATGAGCATCTGCTAGGTGACAGACATTATACCAAGCACTGGGTGTTCAGTGATGGAGGTGGCATTTGACCTGTGTTCTTGGGATACTACAGAAGCATGAGAGGAAGTCTGGATGAACATGAGAGGAGCCATTTTGGGCCTGAGCCTACTGAGGATGCCATCTCCGTGTCTTCTTCTGCAAGGGTATTCTTTTACTCTTTAGTTGCACCTTTCTGTAGAAATCAGAAGACCTACCATATATGCACATAATTATGTGATTTTGTAAAGAAATCTTTCCTTACTTTTTTAAAGACAACTTTATTTACTTATTTATTTATTTTTGACTGTGCTGGGTCTTCGTCGTTGCGTAGGCTACTCTCTAGTTGTGGTGCATGGGCTACTTACTGCAGTCACTTTTCCTGCTACAGAGCACAGACTCTAGGGCATGTGGGCTTCACTGGTTGTGGCACATGGGCTCAGTAGTTGCGGCTTCCAGACTCAGGAGCACTGCCTCAATAGTTGTGGTACACGGGCTTAGCTGCTCATGGCATTTGGGATTTTCCCAGACCAGGGATTGAATTCATGTCTCCTGCATTGGCAGGTACATACTTTACCACTGAGCCACCAGGGAAGCCCCCCTTATCTTTACATTGTAAATTATAAATACATCCTGTTGGGAAGTAGAATGTCATTAAACAGTGAATTGCAAACATTTAAAATTTAAACCAATGCTTGTCAACCCCAGTTGTGTGTTAGATCATCTGGAGAGCATTAAAAATATCCTGTTCATGCCACTCTCCCTTCAGAGTCCGATTTAATTTGTCTGAGATGAGGCCAGTGTATTGGTTTGGTTGAGTGAACGGGTAGATGGATGAATCAGTGAAAGGATGAATGGAAACTTCATAATGTATTAAGGAGGACATCTGAGCCAGGCAAATTTAAGGGCAAGAAGAGTAAAATGAAGCCAGAGATCATAGACATGCATGAAGTATAATGCCAGAAAGCCCTGTGAACATGTGAACCTGAAACCAAATTTGAGATTTGTGCTCTTTAGCAGCTGAAGCCAAGGGAAACACAATCACATGGATAATGACTCTGGTGCTCATTAGATTAAAAACGCTCTTGTCATCTATGAAAGCCAGATATTTTCAGGACTGACACTAACCTAGAGAAGTAAAGAGGACCCCTGGTTATGAGGTGTGGGATATTTGTAACACATTTAGAGAAAAAAAAATGCAATTTATCTTTCAGAGTGGAGGTGAAAGACCTTTTGAGTGATCTGAATGCTAGACAGTGAAGTCTCTAGACCCTAAAGGAGAATTAGTCTTTGTTAGGTATCTCCCATTGGTCTCTCTAGGTTACTTCCTACAACCAAGCTTCATTTCATTGCCTCCAGCATTACATGTCCTTGATCACTCGACCACATCACCTGTCACTAACCTCTTACTAAAGTTGATTTAACCATACTGGCCAACTCACTGTCCCTGGAACATATCAACCTTGGTCCAATCTTATGACCTTACATTTTTTATTTCTTCTACCTGGAATGCTTTTTCCCTTTATTTTTGCATGGTCAACAGTTCATCATTCAAAATTTAGTTAAATCTCCTTCTTCATCTCCTTATGTAACTCTACATCCTTCACTATGCTCATCTTTTCTACCATATTACTCTGCTTTCCTTTTTTTGTAAAGCACCTGAAATTTACCTTAGTGATTCATTAGTTTAATTATTGTCTTTTCTACTCCTTAAGTCTTCTTGCTCACTACTGTATTCCCAGTGCCCAAAATGGTGTTTGACACTGTAGTTGCTCAATAAATATTAATTGAATGAATGTATCAAGTTTTTCATGAATCCTTGATGATAGGCAGTTACCCTATGTGTTTGGTTAAACATAGAGCCAGACCCTTTCAGTCAACCAAATTGTAAATAAGACTGATATTCTCTCATTAAAAAGGAAGACACAGATCAGGATCCCTGGCCATACTCAAGGCCACCTCTCATCTTGTTTGGAGACCATGTTTTTTTATGAGGCTTCATTACCCTTTTCCCACTTTTAAATTCATAGACAGTAGCCTGAAACTATATGATTCCAGTGGTGGTTTTTTCCAAGTCTTTTTGTTTTGTAATCAACTTTTTTATGTTTAAACTCCAGATCCTAAGCAAATGTACATGAAGCTTCAATTTTTACATTCAGCGAGGCTGTAGGAGAGCTTTGTAATGTCTCTGAGCCTTGATTCCACTTTTGAAAAATAGGGTTATGATAATAGTATATGCCATATAAGGCTGAGAATGAAAGGAAGTAATCCTTAAAGAGCACTTAGTATAATACCTGACACTGAGGATACTCAGGAGAACTTATTGATGATAATAGTAATATTAATAATGCCAGTTACAATATAGGTTTATTAATTATTATTATCCTTATTATTACTTTCTCCCTGCCCCTTCTTCTAACGTACTATTTTGGGAAGTGACATCACCACTGAACTGATTTTATAGGTTTCCTGAATATACATACCAATCTGACTTGAATTCATCAAAATTATATTCCAAACACTTGGTAAACACCTTAGGTCATTTTAGTGCATTAACTCCCGATGCAAACTCTTGCTTTTGTTCAGAGACAGTTCTCCTAATGGCATGACTTCTTCCCTTTTCTCCACCTTTCCTGACTTGCCCCGATGCAGAGGAGAAGGCCAAGAAGGAGGCGGAGGAAAAGGCTCGCCGGGCTGCAGAGGAGAAGCAAAAGGAAATGGAAGCCAAAAGCCAAGCCGAAGAAAGTGCGTCTGGCAAAGCTGAGAAAAAGGCGTCTGGGGAAGCTAAGAATCAAGTCAACGGAGCACGAACAAATAAAAGCAACAACCCTCATGGGAGAAATTCCAAAACTGAAAAATCATCGGGAGAGAAGCAGCAGAATGGTGAGCAGAATCGTGCTGGTGAAAGGCTCTTTTCAGGGTGTTAATGATATGATGAATGGACCCTGGCAAAGAACTGCCCCTGTAAGGACAGCTCACAGAGCAGCACTGCCTGGCCATCCCAGCTGCTGCTGATCGCATCTCCCTGAGCTGTGGATCCCATCAGGATCCATCAAAGGCAGCTAGACGTTTGCTTGGGCCATTGTCTCTGGAGAGATTTGTACCTTTGGGCCCTGCCCAGCTGTACTGGAGACTGGCAAATGCCTGCTTTCTAAGGAGAAATTCATATTTAGCAATCCCAGTACAATTTCTGAGTGCTTAGCGTCAGAATGGATGAATGGAAAGGCAGCTTTCTATATGTACCTTCCCCCGGGAGGGACAGGACTCATGTCTGTGTAAGGTTTGTTCAGTCTGGGGACTGCAAGATGTAGTAAATGTCAAAGAAAACTTTGAGAAGAGGTGGTGTCTAACCTGGATTTTTAAATGCAGAAATTTGGGGGAACATAGGGACTTCTCAGCCATAGAGAATAAGATGACCTAAGGCACAGGGGCATGGAATTGGTTACCTTGTTTAAGCGAAGAGCAGGAAGTTCAGAGTCACTGGAGCTTTCAAGTGCCAGCTTGTGGTGAGGTTGTTTGGCAGTCTAACAGACCTGGATTCAAGTCACAGCTATGCCTCTCACTTTTTATGGTCTTGGCCAGGTTACTTAACCCTCCACTGTCTCTGTAAAATGTGCATAATAATAGTTGCTCACAGCCTGGACCACTTGTGAGCTTCCAACAATAATAAGGATAGCAAAAACAACAACGGAACAACTAGCATTTATTGATTATATACCAGATGCTGTTTTCAGTTCTCTCTTGGGAATTCTGTGGCAGTTTAGGAGTGTTAGGACTCAGTGCTTCTATTGCAGGGGGTCCAGGTTTGGTCCCTGGTTGGGGAACTAAGATCCTGCAAGCCACACTGTGAGTTAGCTGTGCTTGTATTTAGTCCTGCCCCACTCTTTGTGACCCTATACACTGTAGCCCACAGTGCCGCTCTGTCCATGGGAATTTTTCAGGCAAGAATACTGGACTGGGTTGCCATTTCCTCCTCCAGGAGATTTTCCCAACCCAGGGATTGAACCTGTGTCTCCTGCGTCTCCTGCATGGCAGGTGGAGTCTTTACCACAGAGCCCCCTGGGAAGCCTGCAAGCTGCACAGCTTGGCCCAAAAATAAATATAAAAGACCATACCTTAAAAAAATTTTTAGTAAATAAATATATTCGCTCTTTACATATTCACTGTCTTATCTGCCTGGTAGATCCAGGTGATCTCCTCTAAATGATCTAGCTATGACACTACGCCACTCAGGTAAATCAGAAGTATGTCGAAAGTGCTTAGCGTTAACACTCCCCAAGTATTTTTGCAACTGACATATTAACATGTGGAATCAGAAAACAAGGTTTTAATACATAAAATAATGCTAATAGCTCATATCATGCCTCAAGAGCTTTGCATAAATTCCTTCAGGTAAGCCCCAAGAGCACCCCAGGAAGCAAGGGAGGCCATCGTCTGACTCGCCCAGCCTATTAGCAGCCAGGTTCTGGAGCCTGCTCATAACTAGTTGACTCTGTATTCAAGCATCATAGTCTGGCAAATAGTCAATTTAATAAGAATTTCTAGTAGAACTGTTGAAGTTTTAGTGCATGCATGCTCAGTTGTGGTCAACTCTTTGTCACCTCATGGACTACAGCTCGCCAGTCTCCTCTGTCCATGGGATTCTCCAGGCAAGAACACTGGAGTGGGTTGCCATTTCCTTCTCCAGGGCATCTTCCCAACCCAGGGATTGAACCTAGGTCTCCTGCATTGCCGGCAGATTCTTTACCATCTGGGCCCTGGGAAGCCCTAGAGAGCAATGTAAAACACTCCTTTCTTCCCCTCCCAAGGAATGAACCAACTGAGAGAGAGATACTAGAATCAAAAAATGGTCAGAATATTAGCTCCACTGCCAGTGGAGCACGTGGGCTTCTCACACATGGCCTAAACTAGGCTTAGCCCGCCAGACACCAGCAGAGCAGATGGGCCCAGGTCTCGCCCCATCACTCCACCAGAGCAGGCTGTTTCTGTGGTAACAGAAAAGGGGTGTGTCTTGTGGAAAACACATCTCAAAGGGGGTTGAGGGCTGGACAGGGTGTGGCTGGGCTGAATCATGCATACTCACCTCTTCCTTTTAGATAAGCATCTCCTTCCCAAGGGAGGAGTCCGTAAGGGCTGTGAGAAAGGCAAGACGTGTTTCTTCTCTACTTATTTCCTTTTAGGAGTGTGGGTTTAACTAAAAAAAAAAAAAGTCATTATTATGTCAGTAACACATATAGAATGCGTAATATGTGGGTATAATAATGCACCAGACATTATAGGTGGGATTTTATACACATTAAATCATTTAAAAATCCTAACAACTGTATGAGGTAGATATACTCATTTCCATTTTGTAGATGAGGAAACTAAGACTTAGAGAGGTTAAATCAGTTGCTTGGGGCCAAGCAAGCATTCAGTAGAGATTTTAGGCCAAATTCCAGAATAATGTGGATCCAAATTCTATCTTCTTTTGCCAGCATGACCCCATTTGAGAGGTTCAGCGCTGTTGGGAAGAGCCGGAAATCAGAAGAACATTGAGACTCAACTCCTGTCCACAAAATGTTTATAATCTACTTCTTCCAGGGGTTGGCATACTCTTTCTATAAAGGATCAGATAATAAATGTCATGCATTGCTGCCATTTGGTCTCTGTTGCAACCACTTAACAGAGGCCTATTTTAGCACAAATGCAACCACAGATAACATGTAAACAAATGAGAATGGCTGTGTTGCAATAAAACTTTATTTATGAAAATTTAGATTCTCACATAACATTCAATAACCTTCTCTTTTTTATCAACCATTTAATAATACAAAAACTGTTCTTAGGTCGTGGGCCATATACAACCAGGCAACGGAGTCAGGTTTGGCCCCTGGGCCATAGTTATATAGTCAGGAAATGAAACCAATGAATACAAATATGCTGGTCACAAAGGAGGTTATACATTCTATGAGACGGGTATAAATGAATACCCAGAGAGGGCAGAGGTGACAACAATTTATCAATATTTTGAAGATAATTCGTGGGAGAGCCTGAAAGGCACAAACAGGAGTCCAAATTTTCAACTAGGCTGGGTTGATTCACGACTGTGTTTACTTCCCAAAGTAAGCATTGGTTTGCCATTTCCCTTAAAAATTAAGTATTAAATGAGAGGTGGGAAAAGAAATCAATTTTGAGCAATAATAAGAAAGGCTGGTGGTGGTTCGGGACCGGGTTGCAGCAGCCTAATTAAAATGATTTGTAACTGCACAGAAAGGCTCTTTTGTTTCCCCCTGTTTTTTGACTAACAGCTCATATCAGCTGTTAGTCCATTTTCAACCCATGGGAAGTTCCTAATGGACTCCGTTCAAGGAACATCATCAGACAAACATACATCACTTTCCTGGCACCCTTCTTTGTGGCCGCCCAAGGTACTTTTAGGATAGAGCTGAAGGACGTTGACTCATTGGGATTCTAGAGGTTTGAGCCCCTATCCACAATCATGGGAACCCCTAAGCTTTGGTCTCCATCAAGGCACTTTCCCTCTCAGCCTCCCCAATCCTGACTGAGGAGAAGGCAGGCTGCCACGGGCTGCTGGCCAGCATCCAGCACACCAAACCTCTCCAGCTGACTTCCTGGCTTTGCTGCAACTGTGGCTAAAGCTCCAATGCAGGGCAATCTTGAAAGCTTAAAGTATTGTGCTTTAGGGGTATGAAGGCTCATTGAGGAAAGAAAGAGCATTTTTCTGCAGGGAATTGGTTTGACTACAAGGCTAAAGATCATCCTTGAGTTCATTTCTGTCATCCTTAAAACAGGGAAAAGCCAGTGTTTGGACTGTTCCATGGGTCGCCAAAGGAATCCATCTACTTTGGCCATTGGTGGTGGTGGTAACCATGTGCTGCACTGAGACTCCTGCTCACACTCTGGCCAGAGTTGGCTCCCATTCCCTCAAGCTTAGAATTTGTCAAATTCCATTAAAACTATTTATTTTGTATTGCAAAACTACTTAGAATGTATTGAAACCTAATTATCTTATATTATCCTCAGATAATTGTCTTAAATTATCCTTGAATTCATCTTGAATTATCCTTGAATTTCTTGAATTAGCCTTACATAACCATTTCTTTATAAATCAGTAGACTAAAGGCGTTTAGAAATGCCAACAGTAAATGGAAGTCTGAAATCTAGAACTTAAACGTCTTAGAGAAGTTGCAAAATACAGTATTTGAGAACTTGGCCTCTAAAATCAGACCCATATGTGTATGTTATGGTCAATTACTTTACTTGTGCTTCAGGTTCCATAGTTATAAAATTGAGATGTTGATACGAGTCTCACATCCATTCTCCGTTAGTCTATTTTATATTTAAGCAAAAACAGTCAGTTGGTCATTTGTCAGATCAATGGCTTAAACCAAATTTAAAGTAGCCAACAGGAGCGGTTTTGCTGCAGAGGGAGATACTTCTGCAAAGTTTGGGAGAGATGGGGCCTGAGAGTGTGTGAAACACAGGAAGGCTGGCAGTCGATTACAACTCAACACAGTTGGCCTAACCAGTGTGTGAACTTGCAATGAACTCAAGGCAAAATTCAAATTTGGAAGACATCCTCAATCATTTGGTGACTTATTATTCAGCATATTGATCACTTAGTGAATGAATCTTTGGTGAATTTGTCTGCTTTCAATAATAGTATCTTCATAATGGAATTGCTATACAAATTTAGTGAAATGATGCACACAAAGCATTTAGCATACTGCCTGGCACAAAGAAAGTAGAAAGGGTAAATGTAACCCTCCCACCATGGGCCCTATTCCCCCCTCTTCCTGGATACAATAATTATTAGGATCTTTTTGCTTAAGTAATGCCAGTAATTCAGTAGTAACCTATTCTTGGTTTTATGTAGGCTAGAAAGAAAACTGCCATTAGTATGATTTGTAAGAAAAATATTTGAAACTTGAGAGTAAGTTTGAGAAAAATGTTGCCATGTCCTTTCAATGCTAGAAAGGCATATTTTCAAACAGATCTGCCTAAGGATTATTTAACTATCTTGGGCAGCAAACATTTTCTGTGTAGGCCCAGATAGTAAATATTCCTGGCTTTGTGTCTCTACCACTGCAGCTACAGACTATATGTAAATGAATGGGTGTGGCTAGGTTCCAATAAAACTTTACATCCAGAAATGATAACAGGCCAGACTGGCTCATGGACTGGCTCATGATTTGCTGACTCCTTGCTTTAGGAGAACATGACTATGCTTAGCTTCATCATTTACTATTTGACTCAAACCTAGGTACTGTGACGTTCCATGAGAACTTATAGATTTTTGACTATTAAGGATGATAACCCCAACAATTAACACTTTTTTTTTGCTCTGAAGGACATAACCAGTTTTGTCTCTAACCTAGTAATCTTATTTTCATGTATTTCTAAAACACCCAGAAATAGCCATTTCTTTATTATCTTCCTGGTTCCCTCATGAATGAATTAAATAAATTTTTGACATGGATTCAGTCTACATTTGTGTGCATAGTGTTTTTTAACTTTTTATATATTACACTTCAGCAAACTCATTAATTAAAGTACCACTTTACAGCTCTGTTTTAGAATAACAGCCGTCATTGAGTGAAGTGCAAGATAGCACATTCAATACCTTAAATGCATTTGTCCTTATATTATGTCTATAAAGTAGGCATTATTATCCCCATTTTGCAGCTAAGGAAAAGCACATAGAAATTAAACAGTAGCTATTAATTGATATAACTTAGAGTAACCCAGGTTTTTCCTCACTCCACAGCCTAACAGTAAAGCTTAACTGCCTGCCTTGAAAAATAAACATCATTGACTTAAGTACAATCCTGTTTAACATGAACTCTTAGTCCTGATTTCCAGATCGTAACCCAACTTCCAGGACCTAATCCAATTTCCTGATATTTACACATAGACGTATAACCCCTCAAGACTAAATTTATGCAGTACTTTGTTTTCTTTTTTTATCTTGACAGGTTTAAAGATATTTATAACTTCCCCCTTGGCTTTATACATATACTGTTTGTCATGTTTATTACTTTCAGGTGACTTGAAAGATGGTAAAAATAAGACAGGCAAGAAGGATCAATCTGATGTCGGAAATGATTCAAAGAAAACAGATGGTAAGAGCATAATTCCCATTATATTTTTCCATAAAATGTGCAATTTAATACAGGCTTGTTAGAATTACACATAAAGTTGAAACTGTGACTCTTAATATAGCCTTATACCCCCTAAAAACATTCACTACATTTAAAGAGTACTATTATCCCTTTTCCAATAATTTATAAATTATTATTGTATCGCTTCCCTTCCACCATACTTTCTCCATTACAAATGCATTCTATGCTCTTTCTTTTCCCACTTGCCATTTTTCATGTTAAACTTTTTGAAAAGCTGATTCTGGGATTGTTGAATGTAATGGAATGGAATATAAGTCTTAATGAATTATTCAATATAAATGGGAAATGTGCCACATTTTCAGTTTTTTTTTAACCTTTAATGAGTTACTGCTTTTGTGAAAAACAAAAACAGAAATCTGTTCAGTGTTATCAGTATGTCAGGAGAACCAAGTACTTGAATGTGGGTAGCTGTAGAATAAGGGTTTGGTCAGCAAGAGTATGTTTTAAAGGCAAGTTTTGAATGAGAATCCCAAACCAGCTAGAATGAACCTACATTGTAATGGGCTTTATGAGCACTGCTTTTGCTTTGCATAAATAGCATTCTAGTCTTTCTAAAATCTGAAAGTTCAACTTCTATTACCCTCCAACATTGGACCATTTGATTGAAAAAACTATTCTCACCTTTTATATAATCCTCCTGTTTCAATTATAACATGCACTCATTCCTAGTTATAATATACATGATATTAAACTAAAAATGAAAATTTTAGGGAGTAGTCTTTGTTAGGGTCCCAGGCGCTAGTGGTAAAGAATCTACCTGCCAGTGCAGATTAGACATAAGAGACGTGGGTTCAGTCCCTGGGTTGGGAAGATCCTCTGGAGCAGGGCATGGCAACCCCCTCCAGTATTCTTGCCTGGAGAATCCCATGGACAAAGGAGCCTGGTGGATTGCAGTCCATGGGGTCGCACAGAGTCAGACATGACTGAAGTGATTTGGCACACACAGCACATAGACTCTTTGAACCACACCTCCCTGCAGACATTGTACTGGATGCTAAACTGTTCTTTGAAGAGTTTAGTTATTCAAAGAAGAACAAATGCAGGGTAATCAGGCTGAGGAGTGAGAATTTTAAATGCTCCTCCTCATACATCTGTTGAAAAGAATCTCCTTAAGCTTTTATCTCTAAGCCATTGTGATGTGCTCTCTTTACCCATATGCAGGAAATCAGTTCTTTCCTTGAAGATCATTCAAATAGTTCACTCTAGGTGTCTTGTCACACTATACCTGGGGAACACACATGTCCAATTTTTTTTTTCCATATTGTTTATGCAAATGGAATCCATTTGCTTAATACATACCCTCCTTGATTGATTGTGACTAAGATGTGAATTATAGGGAGACAAAACAGAATTCCTAATGATGGCCTCTTAGCCAGATTCTGTTATGGGTAAGGTTTGTTCAAGTACCAGACATCATTACACCAAGTCAAGGTAACACAAGCCAGAATATGTATAGTAGACGAGAATGGTGTTAGTTATAAACCCAGCACCTAGACACCTAACCCAGCCTGTATCCAGTGACTGACCCATCTGAATTTCTACAGCATAAAAAGCCCAGAATAAATCAATTCCCAGACCTTTAATGTGGATTCTTAAATCTTGTTGCATTTTTGTATTATACTATAAATAACTGTTATGATGTATTCATGTGAGCATTATAGTTTAAATTTTATTACCTTCATTAGGCCCCTTTACCTGTGTCCTTTTTCATTGAATTATCACCAGATGTTTTAAATAATTAAAATTTCTTTTTGGTGGGGAGAAGTTATGAAATAGATATTTTGTTCTATTGTACAAAAAAGTATAAATCTTGATTATTTAATGAACAGGATTCTTGATCCCATAGGGTAGTGAGCAGGAGGCAATAAATAAAGAAGGGACATTTTCTGATGTCTATACTTTTTCCTTCCATAACTTAAACCTTCACTGATCCAAATAGGGTCTGGTGTGTCCCTATACTTTTAAGTTTGGACATGAACAACTGTGTATTTTAATTTCATTGATGGTCCAACATGACATCAGTAATTACCATTGCTTTGGTATCATCAGGAAGTAGACCATTGTGCTTTAGTTACTTGTGCTATCTTATCTTAGCCCAATATCTCATCAGGAGTAAAGTTATTTCTGGGTGGCATGAAGTAGAAAAGAATTTGTTCAGCTTCCTGTACCCGTTCTCCTCTGGTCATTAAAACTCTCTTCTTTAGAAAAAAATTTTTATGTAATAAGCACAATATAATGGGATCAAATAAACAGTATAGAAAATTAAGGGCTTCCGTGGTGGCTCAGACAGTAAAGAATCTGCCTGCAATGCGGGAGACCTGGGTTCAATCCCTGAGTTAGGAAGATCCTCTGAAGGAGGGCATGGCAACCCACTCTAGTATTCTTGCCTGGAGAATCCTCATGAGCAGAGGAGCCTGGTGGGCTACAGTCCTTGGGGTCGCAAAGAGTCAGATACAGCTGAGCGACTAAGCACACATAGAAAATTAAAACACTTTGCATCTCTACTGGGGTGTTTTCAATTCTTGTCAGAAGATCTAACAGCATAGTGGTTAAGCTCCTGGGTTCTGAAGCCGGGTATTTTGGTTTAAATCTCGCCTCTACCACTTACCAGTTTTCTTTGGACAGTTAGTATTATTTTAAAAATGAACTGCCAGCTGGATCTAGAAATTTGAGGTGCCTCTCCCTCCCTCTTTGTCCCTGGAATGCATGACCTGCCTACTCTTTCTGAACCAGGAGCTTTTCCAAGGATGCAGCCTTGAGAGAGTAAGGCAGTGTTGTGATCATCTATACTGAATACATGATTAAAACCCAGTTAAAGCTTCTACATGAGCTTTTGAGATCCTCGCTGGCAGATGCACAGAGCTACTTGTCTTAAAGTCTGCATGAGACAAGTCTCTTATGAGATCACCTGGAGAAGGAAATGGCAATCCACTCCAATATTCTTGCCTGGAGAATTCTATGGACAGAGGAGCCTAGCTTGCTACAGTCCATGGGGTTGAAAAGAGTCAGACATGACTGAACGACTAATACAGAGTTATAATAGACTTCAGAATTTATTATTGTTTTGAACCATAGGAATAATCACATAAAAATTTAAGTTAGAGTGATATCTCAAAGTTTAGACATCTCATTTAATATATTGGAAATTTAGTTTGAGAGAAGTGTTAGTAAATGTAGCATTGCATTGAGCTTAGAGCATGGATTTAGATCAGAAAGAACTAAGTTCCTGTGCCAACAATAGTGGTAGACCTATGGCCTTGGATGAATTATAATCTTACTGTGCTTCTGTCGTTATCATCTATAAGAACAGTGATAAAGATTCTTCATAGGGGTTGGAAAGCAACTGAAACATTGCCCTCTGTATGGTAATGCTCAATATATGTTAGTTTTCCTAAAAATGATATGTATATCAGTTAGATATGGTAATGCTCAATATATGTTAGTTTTCCTAAAAATGATATGTATATCAGTTAGATATATTGATTTTTAGAAACCATCTAGTGACAAACAGATACACTTTGAACATTTCTAATGGCTCTTACTACATCTGATGACCAAGGGGAGTCACTTTAACTATTTTTAATGCCCCTACCCTTAGTACAACCCCTGGGAACCAGCTCTAATTTTTGAAAGGGAGTGTCCGAGCACAATTCAGTGCCCAGTGTGATCAAACCCACTCTGTTTAGAAGTTTCAATATTGTATACGTTCAGAAAGAAACCCAGTGGAAACTAGACCACAGTTGGTTATTCCCAAACTCCAGTGAGCAGTGGCAGACAGAGAGGGAAGGAGCATGTGCTGAAAGGGGTAAATTACCTACTGGCATAATGAACACATTGCAATTGTAAATTATCTCTGTCAGGCTGCTGAAGTACTGTTTAATACCCTGCAGCACTAATTTTTCTAACTGACTTCAAAGAATGAATGCTCTTTGACAAATACCTTGTTTATTCTTAGGGAGAAATGTACTAACATAAAAAGATCTAGGCTTCTGAGCCAAGATTCTCTCAGGGCTTAAAGTTTTCATGATCATTGGAAGACTTGTAAGGTACTATGTGAATGAATTATTTTCAATGTGTTTTTAGTCATGTTTGAAACAGCATAGCTATAATTTTTATAGTTGCCCAGAAATATGAAGTTGCCTTTAACTTTACTTCACTGCATTAACAGAGATATAAGAGATAGCCACTGTTTGTGTCTCTCAAATGCTTGATTATAATTAGGGCCTGCAAGGTTATTTATCAAGTGGGGCAGTACAGCAAGAATTTTTCCTTTATTGAATGTTCTGAGAAGTAGAATGCTTAAAGATGTTGGTTCATGAAATTTTGGTCAGTTGTGAAGAGTTGACATCTACTTCTCCAAAGAGGAAGACCAAGAATTAGATTTACCCTTCCACTTGAAACATTTTTTTAATAAAGACAATGTATGTGGAAGAGTGGTTTTCAAGAAATGAAGACGTTAAGAAATACTGGACATCATGAAATGAAAACAGTCTAAGAGACAAGAAGCAAATGAAGTGAGCCCTACAATTGCCTCAGCTTACTGCAATTAGTGGGTTTCCAGGCAGACCTGAGGGACTCCTTGAGCTGAGGAGTTGACTGAGGATCCAGGGAGGCTAAAGTGGCTATGATTAGCAGGATAAAGTATCAGAGAGAATAGAGCTGCAGAAAGATAGAACTCTAGAAATCTGAAGAGCATTCATCAGGGTACTGATGGGCCCATTTAATGAGGAAACTACCTGAGACCAGGAACGAACCATTCAAGAGGTCTAGAGGGAACAGTCCTGATCTTTACATTTGACAAAGAGCAGTAAAAGTGCCTATTCCCTCTAGCCAGATTAGAATCCTTCATAATTTAAAGAGAATTGGTTATAATATTCATAATTGTCTTGCCTTAGCTGGGGAATAATTCAGTGCAGTTCAGTCGCTCAGTCGTGCCTGAC